TTCATTAGTATTGTCAACAATTGACACAAAACTCTCTGAACTGAGTTAAATTCTAGATGTCAAGGTTATAATGAACACAATAAAATATAATTTAAAAAATGTCAACATTTTAAATTATTATTTTAAGAAACAAGTTTTTATAAAAGCTTTTTATTTCGTCTAGAATTTGCTTGAAATAAATATAAAAGTTTCTCTTTTTTTTAAATTCTAAAGGATCAAGAAAGAGAAGATACGAACGAGTCTCTCGCCTTGGCTACCAATATACTCAGAGGTGTCATGTCTGTAAGTGATGATTATGATAAGCCCTTTACATGTACATGTTTGCTGTGCTGTCTTTTTTTTTCTTTCATCAATCAAAAAAAAAACGGTTTAAACCTCAGGACCTATACATGTAATTCTTAAAAATAACACATGTAAACCTTACTCTAGATTGTTTTAATAATTATTTCCAGGAAATAGCTTCGAATACAGAATCGCCAATCGTATAACACATCACTCTCCGTTTGTTTCGGTTGTATTGACATCATATAAACACTGAAAAAAGTTTACAGACAATCGGACTGACTCTTAGATCGATGACGGACTTATTAAACTATCACACAAGCTCTTCTAGTATCTGACAAATAGGTTAAAAACTGTTCATCAAAAATACATTCGTTGTTTATTTGTATTAACAAATTGACATTCCTCCTGATGTATCTACAATAAAAAAAATCTACAGAAATATGAAAACGTGTCGTGCTATCATCTGCCCTCTACGCTTGCGAGATATAGCTGGCATTGTCACTCTCAGAAATTCAACTGTTTGCATATCCCAGATCTATGTGTAAAGTCATGGATAAAGTAAAAGGGAATTTTCATAAATGGACGTCAAACCAAAATAGATAGCAGAAGAATAAAAATGGCATCTTGCTCTGCCTGAAGATTCTGATATGTCTTTTTCAGTAAAAAAAAACATATTCAGTTGAATCCAGATTTTAAACTGTAGCAGGTTTCCAGAAAGATTTTTAATAATTTTACTTTAGTTTCCATCATTTTGTAATTCATCTTTATGCACATCTAATGTAATTTATCTTTATGTACATCTTATGCACAACAAGGGAATGTTTTAGAATGATACACCTCTCCTTCCAATATCTAATTACATGTACCTTTAAAATTATAAATGATTTGTATACATCCCATTTTAATTAAGGTAGAAATTCTCGAGAGGGACGTTAAACAACATACAAACAATTGATTAAGAAGTTTTTTTTTAACTTTTAGGCGAAATAACTATAACCACCAAATACAGTGCCCTTCACAGTCTCAATAGGTGTTACTAAATAACATTTCAAAAAGTACAAATTTAAAAGTACAATTTACCAAAAAAAAAAATATCAGGTTTACTGTTTACCAGTTTTCATTAACAAATCTTTCAGTAACATTAATTTTCTTACATTAACAAATTATGATATAAAAGATAAAAAATTAGAAAATTCTACTAAACAATCTACAGATTAAGGTTTGTGCTTGTACATTTCAAGAATTGCAATTTAAAATTTACAGTGTATATAGTTCTTTATGTATATATATATATATATATATATATATATATATATATATATATATATATATATATATATATATATATATATATATAAAGAGAGTTAGGAACTATAATCATTCGATTTTTTGTTTGAAAAGCGTGATTTCTTTTATGTTCATGTCGTTTTACATCTTTTTGAAATTAGGCAACAGTTGAAGAAAAAAGATTGATGGACATCCTGAAAAATCTCGGAACTCATCGGATGACGTATAATGTCAGTGTAATTTTAGCATCAACATTATATAGCATTTATTATACATAATATATACGAGGGTTCTTCGAAACGTTCGTGGACTTCTTTGATATATATTTTATTTGATGTCATTTGTTATCAAAATTTGGAAGAAATATTAATATAACAATAAATCATAATGACTTCTTTTAATTTTTTTTAAATATGAAAAAATATATACAATTTCATAAAATGCAAAATTTGGATCGTGGATCAGGTCAAAATATAATAAGTTACAAACAATTCACTAAATAATGTCTGTAGTCAATTTCTCTGTAAAATGGAAAAATATCGAAAAACAAACTAGATATTCAAACACAGATTTGTTACATCGATTCGTATTCCAAATTGTGGCTTAATATTTTGCTTTGTTGAAAAGAAATCAACTTGAGGAGATAGGTCATCCTCATTGAAAGCAACAAAAACCATGATAAAAACAAGAACAAATAACAAAAAAGTCATGGAGCAGCAGAGTACGATTCAGTTTTGTGTTTTACTAACTAAAGGAAAAAATCCTGAAAAAAACCCCTCTAGAAATGTTGGGGGAAAATGCCTGGTATAAGAAAAAGGATTTAGTGAGACGGCGTTGGATTATATTCTTTGAAATATTAAGTGATAGTATATTTTTTGTAGAAATTCTTGACGCTATATTTTGACATTAAGTGAGCTCCGCGGGTACAAAACTTATTGATTATAAAATGAATTAAATTGATATTTGTTAAATAGAATGGAATGAAAGTTCAACATACAAATATTTTACATATTACATTGTGCTTATTTTAATTTTTAGCGAGTAATATAATAACGATTGACATCGTCAACAAACTTTTTAAACAACCCTCTTATTTCCATTTCTATTTGTTTTCTATGAGATAACTTCTTGATAATTCAACAGGAATGTACTTTTTCGAAAAGCGATTTGCTAAGAAAGCTCAATTCTAGTACATGTATGCAGGAAGATCGCATAAAATTGTTTTGTGTCTGACGTCAGGAGGCAGGGACTTTTGAAATAAAATGTGAGGCCTCATGTAATTAAAAGCTATAAGACAGCATTTAAATTTCACAATGAAATGGAAATGTAAGGAATCACTGTCTAGTTTGTTGGGTCATGGCAGGGTGTCAACGATAGTTGGAAAAGTGGGATACATTTATGCAGAAATGGCTTCGCCTGTTATGTAAATTATCCCACTTTTCCAACTATCGTTGACGCCCTGCCATAACCCAACAAACTAAACAGTTATTCCTTAAATATAAATATCATATATTCTAAAAGAATTTTTTCAACTTGTAAAACAATTTTTTCAACTTGTAAACGAATACAACTCTACAATTGCACGTGTAGAACCCCTCCCCATCTCTCTCTTAATAATCAAATCTCTTTAAGTAAATTGTAAATTTATCATCTTATTAATAAATTCTTACTGCGATTTTATATAGAAATGAATACGCACGTATAGTTACTGTATTTATTGAACAAATTCATTTTTTCTTTCAGTATGTCGACGAAGTGTTTGAAGTTGATGAAATCAATAAAAGAAATCTGGGAAAGATGATTATACGATATGTTGGCCATGAAGGAACTGAAGCAAAACCAGGACTTCGAAAAATACTCCAAACCTGTATCGATTTTTTACAAACAGAGGCAGCTGGTGTGTGGAAAAATGCCTCTTTCACTATCTATGACGAGGACGACAACATGTACAGCATAGCTAGTGGGAATAAAAAATACCGGTTCATATGTGGAATTGAAGACGGGAAACCTTATATAAAGGAAGAAATGGGAGGACCTTCGCGCAAAAAACCAAAGATACTACCCATTCAGCATACTGCTGGAACAGGTACCGAGGAAAACAGGTGTCAAATCATGTGAAGAACTACTCTTTATCAAGTTGATTCTGAAAATAATTTTAACTGCTTAATTTATCTTGCAGTGTTATTTGGTAGAAAATGACTGTTAACATTTTAAAATAGTCTACTCAGTCAAACAAAGGGAGATAACCTTTTCACTAAACTGCTAGGAAGTAAACTTCCTTGGAACCAACTTTGATGACATTGAAAGAAATCATGAATTAGGATGAATATTAATTTTTTATATATTGTCTAGTTCAAAAAATCAAAAATAAATTCTATGAAAAAAAAAATACGTAAACATGTTTAATGCATGCATACTAGTACATACGTATGTAAAATGTTGTGTGTCTTATTTCATTTGGAAGTTATTAAAACTTCGAATTTCTGGTCGGGTTTGATTGACACGTCCTTGCACGTTCACAAATCATTTATTTCTTTCATTAATTTCATTCTTAATGCTAAGAAAACGGAACAATTATATTGTATATTGATAAAGAATATTAAAACTATAATTAAAACTAGATGCTGTCAAGAGACAGTAATACCCGCACTAAGGTGTTTGCCTCTAAATACACGCTCCTACATATTAAGCGGCTTTCCAAAGAAATAGTCAAAATAATTCTATAATTTACATGTATTCATCAAATTGAGTATGAAATTCTCAGACCCTGTGACCTATAACTCAGAACCTCTTATATTTATTTTATACATGTTTAATTCATTATATACCAGTCTGAATTTTATTAATGATGTAAATTCATGCACGGATCTGTCGGGGGGGGGGTGCAGGAATTTACAAGGTTAAAAAATGTATATACTAAAACAAGGGTCAGGACCCCCTTGGAAAATGCAGATCCCCCCCTGGTAAACACGAATATGTGTAAAATAAGTATGAAAAGTTAAACATTTGCGGCAATAGAACTCACCACTACCCCCACCCACCCCCCACGTTTTAGGTTTTTGACGTTTGGTTTTTTTTTACTTTAGGTTTTTTTTTTTTTTTTTTGATTGTCATTTCTGGGATTGGATTTTTTTTTGACTGCGGTGGACCCCCCCCCCCCCCCCGGAAAAAATTTCTGGATCCGCGTCTGAAATTAGATTTTGATATATGTTTTGCTCATAATAGGACCTTTTTAAATTTACTAATACCCCCCCCCCCTTCGACACCACAATCACACAGCACATACTTTTTGGAATACGCTAGATGGAAAAGGTTTGTTAAAATTTAATATCGTTTGTTATGAATTAATTTAAAATTTGTTCTTGTACTGTACATGTGAACATGTAAATTTCTACATCACATCACGTTGCGTCACCCATTATCATATTTATAGATTAAACACCATTTGGCACACCTCGGCCGATTCCCACTTCATCTGATAAGGTGATGGAATCGACGAAAGTTCCCAAAATGGCACATGGCTGAGTCTGGTGTGCATTGGATTGATTCATTTTGAGTTATAATTGGATTTATATTTCATGAAGTTGAGACACAGGGAGTCGGTAAGTAGAAGTGTATAGTGGGGGGTAAAATACAATACACCCAAACTATTAGGTTAAAGTTTAAAAAGGGTGAAAGATCATCGCATGCCACACTAGACGAATTTCATATTGTGAAGTTATCTCCCGTTGTCGATGTGACATTCAGTTACTGCCAATACTGGTGCGGATCCAGAATTTTCGGGAGTAGGGAGGGGGGTTCACATCTCAGTCAAAAAATTCCAGCCCAGAATTTCGTGACAAGCAGGAGAAAAAAAATGAAAACAAATAAACAAATAAAAAAACAATGATAGTGAGGTCAATGTTTTCTAAGTTTATAGGGAGAGGATGTCAAGAGTCATTTTTTACTTGCTACAGTATATAGTCTTGTTTAAATAACAAAGCAAATGCCAGATGGGGGGGGGGGGGGATGGGTGGGATTCCAATCTTCCTACCCACTTCCTGTCCCTGAAATAACAATGTATTTTGTTATTCCAGTTAAATAGTATATTTTTTTTCCATTTGACTAATTATTATACATATTTTGTTTCTTGTGTTTATAGTATGTCTGTCTATAAGTCTGCAGAAATTAAATCCTAGCTAGCTTGCCCATAAGTTTTAAGTGGGATGGGCTATACAAATAGCTTCCACATTTCATAGGTTTATTTCTTGTGACAATTTAATAAGACCTTTGATTTGGGTACCATTAATTTTTACCTCTGATCGCTTGACATGGGATACACATTATTACAAGAAAAATACCAAACTTTAAACTCTGCCTAAATTTTGATCAGTAGGTGCTAGGGCTTTCATACTTATCATGACATATTGTATTCATTGTGAACTGTCAACAGGTATAAATATGTTTGACCTTGACCCTAGAGTTTGAACCACTTAAACAAAAAAATTAACCTTGGCAAATAACTTTTGAACAGGAATTACTAGGGATTTCTTTATTTCACATGTGCATTCCTTGTGACAAGACTTTCTTCTGATACTAACAATTTGAACCCTTTGACCTTGACCTTTGATTTTGATATATATTTGAGAAACTTCAACCTTCGCCATAGGCTTCCATACTGGGACATCAGTGTTTCACAAACACATCTTATCTTCATTATTATTTGGTGGTGTCTCCATATGAGGGAAGATGTATTCACAACAAACAAACAAATCACAAAAGAAAATATAAAACATGAATATGTTGGTCATGCATATCTCTGCAGGAAAAAAAAACAGCTTTTCAAATGCTCCAACCATATTGTAACCCTTTCAAAACACTCATTTGAGCTTTTTTGGTTTCCTTAGCATATAATGTCTGTCGTGATGTGTTGTCCATCTGTTTTTCTGAAAACTTTTTACATTTTTAACTTCTCTAGAACCACTGGGCCAATTTTACCCAATTCATATAGAAATATGTACATTTGTATGTCAGACTCAGTCCATCTGTCTCAATAAATTTAACCTTGGTTATCACGGTCACATCTACTGAATGAGAAGAGACATTCATATTAAACTTATGTATTAGCATATTTACCTGTGAGAATGGCATGGTTTTTTTTTTTTTACATGTGACCTAGAAGTTTGACCAACTTGCAAAAAAATTAAATTGTTATAAATTCATCATTTTGAAAGAGAAAAGTTAGGGCATTCATATCATAATGCATGTATATTATTACCTGTGATAAGACCTTTCCAAATAAATCATGACTTTTACACTGTGACCTTGACCTTGAAGTGATCAAGCCTAACCTACTTTTCAAAAATGTTGCATTTGCTTATAACTTTTGATTGAGATGAGATATGACTCTCACATTTGACATGTACATAAATTACTCATAAGAATTCAAGGTGTTTCCCAGCATGCGATGTTTTTTTATGCGCCCGAATTTTTTGGGGCGCATATTGTTTTTGTCTTGTCTGTTTGTCTGTTTGTCTGTTTATCTGTTTGTCTGTTGTCAACTTTAACCTTGGCCAAAACTTTTGAACCGTAAGAGATAGAGACTTCATATTTGGTATGCATACTCCTCTAATAAAGTTCTTTCAAATGACATCAAGGTTAATGACCTTGTGACGTTGACTGTGACCTATATGCTAAAAATAGGTTTTTCAACTGTTTGTCATAACTTTTGAACCATAAGAAATAGAGACTTCATAATTAGTATGCATACTCCTCTAATAAAGTTCTTTCAAATGACATCAGGGTCAATGACCTTGTGACCTTGACTGTGACCTATATGCTAAAAATAGGTTTTTCAACTGTTTGTTATAACTTTTGAACCATAGGAGATAGGGACTTCATATTTGGTATGCATACTCCACTAAAAAGGTTCTTTCAAACAACACCAAGGTCAATGACCATGTGACCTTGACTGTGACCTTTATACTTAAAATAGCTTTTTCCACTTTTTGCCATAACCTTTGAACCATAGAAGATAGGGACTTCATATTTGGTATGCATACTGCACTAATTAAGTTCCTTCAAATGACATCAAGGTCAATGACCTTGTGACCCTGACTGTGACCCTATATGCTAAAAATAGCTTTTTCCACTTTTTGCCATAACTTTTGAACCATAGGAGATAGGGACTTCATATTTAGTATGCATACCCCACTAATTGAGTTCTTACAAATAACACCAAGGTCAATGACCTTGTGACCTTGACTGTGAACTATATGCTAAAAATAGCTTTTTCGAACTTTGTTGACGCCGGGCGCATAGTGTTTCACAAACACATCTTGTTACCCCTTGACATTGATGTTTTACATAATTTTCAAAATATTTAACTCTCCTAAAAGATAATTAGGCTTCTGAGTAACATTAAGGAAGACTTCAAGGAAGATAGGGCTTTTTGCACAAAAAACGTCATTTTTCAACCCACATTTGACCAGGGGCAAAATCTAAATTCCAAAACCTTACTGCACATCTACATGACCCCACCCACCATCTCCCAAAAGATGATTAGGCTGCTGAGTAAAATGTAAGAGGAGTTCAGGGAAAACAGGGCTCTTTGTATGAAAAACGTTATTTTTCGACCCCCATTTGATCCCCTGGGGCAAAATCTTAATTCCGAAACCTTACTGCACATGTACATGACACCACCAACCATCTCCCAAAAGGTGATTAAGCTGCTGAGTAAAATGTAGAAGGAGTTCAGGGAAGACGGGACTTTTTGCACAAAAAACATCATTTTTCGACCCCCCATTTGACCCCCCGGGGCAAAATCTAAATTCCAAAACTTTACTGCACATCTACATGTCACCACTAATCATCCCACAAAAGATGATTAGGCTGCTAAGTAAAATGTAAGAGGAGTTCAGGGTATATGGGGCTTTTAACATAAAAAACGTCATTTTTCGACCCCCATTTGACCCCCCGGGGCAAAATTAAAATTCCGAAACCTTACTGCACATCTAAATGACACAACCAACCATCCCCCAAAAGGTGATTTGGCTGCTGAGTAAAATGTAGAAGGAGTTCAGGGAAGACGGGACTTTTTGCACAAAAAACGTCATTTTTCGACCCCCATCTGACCCCCCGGGGCAAAATCAAAATTCCGAAACCCTACTGCACATCTACATGACACCACTAATCATCCAACAAAAGATGATTAGGCTGCTGAGTAAAATGTAAGAGGAGTTCAGGGAAGATAGGGCTTTTTGCATAAAAAACGTCATTTTTCGACCCCCATTTGACCCCCCGGGGCAAAATTAAAA